TATATTCTCCAAATTTCATATTCCACAAATGCCAGGGTATTGGAGGAGGGTTTTGTTAGACTACTTATTCTCTATCCCTGCTTCCAGAATACTTCTCTTCCTCCCTTTATTAAAGCCAACCAACCAACCGATCAGCCAGCCAACCAACCAGCTAACCACCACCACCCACCCACCCAACCAAACATCCTTCGTCATCTGAGGCTCACGCTGTCAGCCCACACCTTTCACTCTTCCTTAAAGCTCTCATGTGGGACATGACAGACATGGCCATATTCATGGATGACTTTGGTCTCTTGTCCCCGCTGACACCTCCTGCCAATATCCTGCATGACTCCAGCCTCCTGATGGACAACTCATCTGATGACAGGTCCTCTTGGATCCTTGACAACCATGCCATCTATCATTCCCTCTATCCCTACTCTGCCCACTATCTCCCACAGGAACACCCTGAATCGAGTCACCCCCATGCCAATGTCCTGCCTCTGATGTCACTCATTTAAATGGCCCACTCTCCAAGCAGATCTTCCTGTTTGTTTGTTCAGCCACTCCCACTACAGCAGAGTTGGATCAAATCCTCATCAGAATACATAAGGAAAGTACTACTATTATCCTTACATTACAGATAGGGATGCAGAGAGAGAGGCTAAGTACTGGCCCATGTCCCAGAGCTGTTAACTGGGAGAGCTGGAATCTGAAGTTAGATGATCATGACTTCAGAGCCCAAGCTCCTGACAACACTGTATGGCCTCAAGTGCACTTTCTCTCTCTCTTTCTCTCTCTCTATGCAAAATTCCTGGCAAACCACCTTTAATTCTCTTTCTGTTTGAAACAATATTTGAGAATAGAAGTGACTAACGATACTATAAGGATGACTCTGAATCTACACTCAGCTTTTAAAACAAAATATGGTGCTGTATTAGAAACCATCAGCTGTTACTCAAAACCATTCTCTTCTATTTTAGTAGCAAAATTCTGATTTTATTTGGGGTTGCAATGTACCCTGTCTGCTGTGTAACTGGGGAAGGCCAATGAAGTTGAGGCTTATTATGTGGAACTTCTAGAGAGCTCCTTAAGGCAGCCTTATTCAGCTCAAGGTAGGCCTTTTGCCACTCCTTCCCCTTCCTTCCTGCTTGGACCATGATGTGAAAGTTGCAACTCCACTAGCAGCAGCCATCGTGGTATATGAGAAAACCTTAGGATGAAAGTCACATGTTAGCGGGGGTAGGGCAGAAAGAGCAAGCACCCGGGTCCCAGATCATTAGAGAGCGCTGGGTGGCCTACCTCAGACAATTTAGGGGAAAGAAAGCGAATCTCTTTCTTTCTTAAGTAATCATTCACTTGAGTCTTCTGCTATCTGCAAACAAACCTAACCCTTACTGAGAGAGGTGAGGTTTTCTTCCTGTGTTTTCCTTCTGTATTCCACAAAGACAATGAAGTAAATTGGTCCTACCATCTTTGGGGGTATTTAAACCCCAGACCCCAAAATGAAGCTGGCAGCAGCAGACTTGCCTTCCTGGTTTTGTCTGCACAAAGCCGGAGCTCCTTCCCAGGACTGCGGTCCATTCCCAGAGGCGCCTGGTGGGGGAGTGAGCAGCGAGGCAGAGAAGGGAGATCCTGGCTGGGGAGAGGTTGGAGGTCTGTTTCTCCTTGTTGTGTGGCAGTACTAGGGAGTCGGCAGGACCCCAGAGGAGGACGTATGATGGCACATGGGGCCCCAGCCTTGCCAAAGCATCCCGGGCCCCCACAAGCAGGGAGGTGGCAAAGTCCCAGGCCCCCTGGGGAGCAGTGAAGTGGGACAGGGGCTCACTGTCCAGGTGCCAGGAAAGCTCTAGCTCTGGTTAGACCCTGGGCTGGGGACCTGAGGGACAGCAGAGATCAAGTGTGCCACCGGCTAGGCAGACTGGGGGTCTGAAGTCAAAGATGTTTTAATTTATAGAACAAGATATTTCTTGGATGACTGAGATTCACACTTGCTAGACTATCTTGTATGAAATTCAGTACTTGATAAATATCAAGCTGCTTGTAATAAGCCTTGCAGTAAGTCTCAAGATGGTTAAGTGAACACCAGTCTAAGGAACAGCAATCCCACAGCCAAATGCCATATCCCTCCATCAATTGTGTGTGAGGCTGGCTGTTCCTTTCTGTCCCCAAGGAGCCACATCCCCTGGACACCAGTGTGTCCCATGTAGGATCAGGGCGGTGTGTCTACAGTGACCACAGCTTCCATCTGGTACCACCATTATAAACCCACCAGAAGAACCTCATACTGCCTTCAAAGGAAAGGCTCCCTTGACTCACGGGGAAGGAAGAGGTCTGGTCCAGTTGACACTAGCTGTCTGAGGACAGGGGTTCTTGCACATGCCGGGAATGTGGAGCGAGCCTCTCTCAGCCAGGGGCACTGAACAGGCACCTGGTCAGGGACAATGCTTGACAGAGAGTTTAGCAAAATAAGGTTTGAAGCCTTTGGCATTGAACTAAATAATTAGTAAAACATCTGGTTTATAACTGACGGAGGCTCTGCTCTTCTCCCTTCCCATTTTCACTTGCATAACTTCTTTGTGGGGAATAAAGGAAGGCTGGCAAAGCCCGTGTTGCCATGGAGCACAGAGCTGCCCTTCACCAATCTCTCATCTTGGAGGCAACATCAGAAGGCAGGGGAGCTCTGCTCAGCCCAGAGGTGGCCCCAGGCCTGCGTCGAGCGGCTGACCACAGCGACAGGCAACGTGACCGGTTAACCCACAGCAGTGACAGGGGAGAGTTAGCTTACTGGGAGCAGGACCACAGAGTGATGGTCGTACTCAGAAACACAGACCAGCTCCTAGTTGGGAAAAGCACCATGGAGGTCACTAGGGTTGAAAAGACAAGTGACTGACTGAATCACAGCCCACTACCATGAAAGCTGTCCTCGGAAACAGCACAACAGTCTGAAGCCTCTTCTCAATGGACTGATGTCTAATGTGAAAATCAGCCTCACATAACATACTGGGTCTCATGGGACACAGACCTCTAAAATTTGAGCAGTTTACACATTCATGGGGCCCCATAAAACATTCACTCAAGCCCTGCTTTGCATGTCTTATAAATAATTATTGATTTGTAAGGCACAAAAACGCAAATGTGAGAATTTGCTTTGGCCTCAGATTTAACAAAAGACCTTGTGAAAATTATGTTTCCTAATTCTCATAGGAAATGAGGCAGGCCCCCTGGAAGTCAGTCTTTACCACTGTGACAAATCATTTGTCTGGAACGCATATCTGGGGACCCTCAGCACAGGGCACAGTGAAGCTTCTCTATAAATGTTGGCTGAAGAAGGATGTGTGTGTGTGTGTGTGTGTGTAAAAAGAGACAGAGAAACAGACACAGAAGGGGAGAAAGAAACACACAAAACACACACACTATGAACATTCAATAAAAGAACGTCAGATTTAATGATAGTATAAAAGATACTAGGGAGAAATATAACTTTAATAAGACTATTTATACATTTTCCTAGTCTTCCAATGAAACATATGAATCTTTTGTGTGTATGTGTGTTCCTTCACACAAATAAAATATCTAAAGTTCACCTTTATATCTAATTCCAAAAGGAAAAATGTTGAGAAAATATTTTGAGTAGCCTTAAAAATTGGTATTTTCATGTCTTGAAAAGAATCACAGTGCATTTAGGAAAGCTGAGAAATTACATGAGTCTCTTTACACCCTCTAGGCCAGCCAGGGGGCCATTTGAGAAGTCCAGGATTAGAAGTTCTCTGTCTCCTCTGGTGTTGGCTACAACTCTGGATCATTCTCATACAAAAAATGTTCTTCCTGACACATACCTGGATTGGAGTGTTTTTTTCTTGTCCTTTTGACAGAGGACAATCTGGTCAGCTTCTTACAGATACGTATTAAGCGACCTCTTAACAACACAGCAGTCAGCTTCTACTAAGTTCCAGTAACTGGCCGGGATATTTTTGTGTGTGCATGATGTGTTCTTTGTTGGAAGATCAAAATCGTGTTAGACGTGGTGTTGTAACTCGCACTCTCGAGAGCTGAGAGCAGAGAGGGAAGGTGGACGAGGAAGGCAGGCAGTGCGATGACACACACATGCCCTAGGCCCGAGTGGAGGAGCGGCCGGCGACCTTGGGCCTGTGTGGCTCGGTGCTGGTCCTCAGGTTAGTCCTTTCTATCTGAGCACAGGCCCAGGGAGGTCCACCTGCCTCAGTGCCCTGAGATCAAGAGATTTCTCCCTGTCAGGGGGAGGACAGCTGACAACCAGGGTCAGGCAATCACTGACTCCTGCCATAAATTCTATGTACCCACCAGTTGCTTGCTTTCTGTATTACCTTTCAAGAAAACTATCTTTAAATTTATTACTCACTGTGTGAGATGCTACTTGCCTGTATTCTTTACATCCTTCCTCCACCAAAACTTAGGGGATTATCTTCTGCCCTTCAATAAAACTAGCATAACTCTGGTGCACTCTGGCCAACATCCTCGACAGTACCCCTGTTTAAACGTGGGCTAGGTTACAACACTACCATTCCACAGACAGGAAAGGTCTGATTGGAGAAAGTGACATTATCACAATACAGTGGACAATCACACTGTGTGGAAGCTCAGAGGAATTCAGAATCTATTGAGAGGACAGCCTGCACCTGATCCAAAACCTCATTCAAAACAGTGTGCACATTGATATACTTACTCAAAGTGCACAGCTCTACGATTTTAGACACCAAGGCAGAGAAGCGTAGTAAGAAATCAGTGTTTTGAGAACCACAGGTCACTGCTCCCTTTAGCAGCAGCTTCCTAGAAGGCAGCCACCCCTTACGCCTTCTCAAACCAAACGCCCTTATCAGCCTCACAGCCCACTCTAGCCATCGACTGCCGTGCAATTCAAACAGAAGACACCCAGAGATTCCTCAAGATGCTGTGAGCACTTCGAACCACATGCACGACGGTAACTCCATTAAGGTAGAGGCTCTGAATACTCACGGACTACAAAGCAGATGTTTACAAACCTGAGCAGAAGGAAGAGGCGAAGCTCTGGAGGGCTGAGTCCACCTCCCTCATGCTAGGCAGAGCCAGGAGGCGAGGAAGGACGCCCTCCAGTGACTGCACAAACAGCCTGGCACTCTGCTGGTCGGCTTCCTGGCTCTTCAGCAGTTTCAGAGACAGAGCAGCGGTTCGCAGGGACCTGTGGCCCAGGCAGTCCCGAGGGGTCTGCTCTTCGTCAGCAAGCGAACAGTTGTCGGACCCGATGTCCGATACGTCAGACCGCCCTGAGTCCTTTTCTGCTGCCATCGAGTACTGGTCACAGGAATCAAATTCTGTCCTAGAAAGGTCTTGGTCATCAACGCTGAAATTGCTCTCACTATACCTTGATCCGTAGGACCTCATCCTGCAGTCCACCGACAGGAAATTAGTGATGTCAGGGTACGCGACCGTGTGGCTTCCCTGCACCACATCTGGCTGGTCCACTGCTTCTGGCTCTGATGCCTTACCCAGGGTCTCCTTGCTCTTCTGGACAGCTGGCGACTTGAGCCCGTCCTTGAGGAGTTCGGAGTGGTCCTCAGGTGTAGTCTGACCCAGTTCTCCCTCCAAAGTGGTCTGGCCCGTGTCTGTGGTCACACTAATGCTGATGTCTGGGCTCCTCTCATTCCCCGGTTCCCAGGGTGTGTGCTCTGAGGACAGGACTCGCCGCTGCCATCGGAAGTCAGCCTCGTTGATCTCCATGGAGTCCCGGCTGGACTCAGCCCCGTCCTTCAGCTCCTCGAGACGCAGCAGCAGCAGCTGGACCTGATCTTCACTCAAGCCTTTGCCCTGGCTGAGCTCATCCAAGGCCCCAAGCAGGGTGCAGACACAGGATACGGCGGCATAGCAAGCTTCGACGCCACCCTTGAGGCATGCTTCGGTCATGCCGTCCATGATGCTAAAGGTGTTCAAAGGGGAAAATGGCATCAGTACATGTTCTATAATAAACAAGAACTGTCAGACTGGTGAACAGTATAGTATTCAAAACAGGTACTCTAAATTACAAGAAACTAAATGGTCTGGGCAAAAAAACCGAAAATCAATGAAACAAATATGCTCAAGCTGGCAGAGGAACACCTCTGGGTAAAGCGGCCACCTTGGATCACTCTGTCTCTTGGTTGGCTGGCTTATTTGGGAACAAACAGAAGCTCTGGACAGGAATTTATAATCCTCACAAGGACAGGCAATGAATAACCTCACTTTTATATTATGTTCAGTTTTCAAACAGAATATAGTTATGGCTATGTGATAATGTGGACATCTTCTACAAAATAACATATTCCTGAGCAGATGCATGTGAATAAAATGACTGTAAATCAGAATATTCATTTCTCTACATGTAAAGGGGAGCTGCATGTACAGGAATCCTATGGCTACAGTATTGTAATTCAAAGAGTTTTCCCCTAAACTAACCCCAATGAATAAATCTGTACATTTCATTTTGTGCATTGGGTTTAAGTCAACAAGAAAATATGGAAAGTTGTATCATGGTAATAAATTGAAGTAAGACTTCTCGGATGGCTTGTGGGTTTGTCACTCCACGTCACACAGGTTCACGCAAAACAAGGGATGTGGAGACAAGGTTTTTAGACTGCTCAGAGAAGCAGTCTTCGCCAGGCAACACAGACCAAAAAGGGGAATGTATCATACAGTTTGAGGAGATCCAGATGAGACTTTCTTTTTGAAACCAATCTTCTTCTGGATTCTGGTTCAGTGGAGCTGGGACCTGCCAAATCGCAGAGACGCTGTGGGCTCCCAAGTAGCTTAAAGAAAAAGGGAAAAAAATAACCAAAAAGTGAGTATCATAAAAAAGTATAAGGTTTTAAAATTGTGAGATCAAATAAACACGTACTTTCTCTACTGAGTGACAAAGTCTAAGGAGAAACACAACTATTCGGAACCGTAAATCTTAATAACACTGATGTGGCTGCTTCTTGACACGGAATGTGCCCTGGGTTCACAGCTCCCCAGGTCAGGATTGGTTCAAAGAAAATCCTCTGGGGCCTGTTCCAAAAACTTGTCCAGCAGACAACTGGGTGGACTTGCATCTATGTTCTGTAGTGAGATTGGGTCTCTGTCATTTTGCTATCAAGTATTTTAAGTTGGCTTTACTTAAAAAACGAACTTAAACACTCAGCTGAGAAGCACTTCCTCCTTCCATCCTCTGGGAAAGTTCACGTCACTGGAACTACCTGTCATTAAAAGTTGGTCCAACCGTTTCTAAAGCTGTATGGGGTCAGTGACTTTTTTTTTAATTTAAAGATTTTAACTACTGATTCAATTTCTTTTAAAAGACTATAGGACTATTTAGGTCTCCAACTTCCTCTTTGGCCAACTTTTTAACAGCTGAGTGATTTCCTAAGGATCTACCCATTTTATCCGAGTTTCAAGTTGCCTGTCATGGCCGTAGTCTCTTTCTCAGTCCCCCCCAGTTTGTGGCAGCCAGTTACGTGTGTTCTGTCCTTATCTCTGTTCATCTGCTCCTTTTCTGAAATTTTCCAAATGTTTTTGCCAGGAGATTTCCAATGTTCTTAATCTTTATAGAGTCCTGGTATTTTTCACTTTATGGATCCACTATGTTATATTTGCTTTTTATCACATTACTTTCTGTTTTTATACTTATTTTTCCTTTCTATTTTCTTTGAATTTAATCTGCTCTTCTTTTTCCAACTACCTAAGCGGGAGAATTAGAACATTAATTTCAGGCTTTCTATTTTTTAGTATAAGCAATTGAAGCTATAAATATCTTGCTAGGTACTGCTTTGGCTGCATCCCACAAGTTTTCATGTATGGAATTTTCACAATTGTTCAGTACTAACTAACTTTTATTTCCATATGGTAGAAGTCTTTACAGAAACTTTCAATCTGAGGCTAAATTAATTAAAGGAAAGACAGGTTAATTAACTGTAGTGGAACGGACATCCTATTGCTATATCTATTATTTTCAAAGCAAGTTATACTCACAGAAAACAGCATATTAAGCAGAAAAAGTTCTATCTTAAGGGCATTCTGTTTTCCCTCTTCCCACATTTCTTTCTTACTCCAGAAATTGGGAACTTCTGCAGTGCTGGAGGCACAGAAATGAAGCTTCCACTTTTCTCTCCACATTTTATTTCTTTCACATCAAAAAAGGAGGGAGAGAGATGAATCCCTGTCTCTCCCCGGCTGCACCCCAGGGGTGTTCCAGTGCTTGCTGGGAGGGCATGCGCATTTTAGGGGTAGGAGTGGGCACTCTCGCTTTCCTTTGGGATCCCATTCTCTCTCTAATCTGAGTTTACCCTAGGAAATTAGATGATACATATTAGTTCCCACATTAATCTTTTAGTGCTTATTTCTCAGCTGTTTCAGAATCTGGAGGAAAGGGGACTGAGTGATTAGGCTCCTGAAGAACCTGCAACAAATACTTAAAGAAAGGCAAGACTTGTTTATCTCAGCTTTCTCAGGTGGGATGGCAGATGTGGCAGCAGTGGTTGGGAAGTGATGAAGAAGAGGGAAGGCCTTCTAATGCTGAACATGGGTGAGAGAAAGGGAAGCAAGGTGTGCTTTTTGATTACTGTTTATCTTTTTGGGAAAGTGGAAACAGAAAAGAAAATGTCCTTTGAAAAACAAAACGTCCTGTAAGTCTCTGACAGGCGCACAGCGTGTATGGCAGATGAGAGAGAGAGTAGGGAGATAACACGCCCAGGGCTGAACGTCCAAACAGCTTGGCAAACACCCCGGACGCCTGGTGGCTCCTCTGTGCACAAACCCAGCACAGCTGGTGTCCAGGTTACCGACCTTCCCACACTGCTGGTGCCGCCATATGAACGGAGGCACTGCTTCAAAACAACCCACCCACCTTGGCCTTCATGCTCCTCGGGCAGCTCCGCCCACACATGCTGCTCGGGGCAGGCCTCTAACCCCAGCCTTGCCCTGCAAACGACCTTGGGGAGCTAGAAAATCTGTAAAAAGGGGAAAGCATAACTAACTTCCTTTGCAGGGTAAAGAAGAGTCCACTGAAAATACATTTAGACCCTACATAGCCCGGACACACACAGGCTTAGTGTTCAAGGGTCGGGGCTCTAGGTGGCAGCAGCTCCAGGGCCTGCCAGCTCGGAGGGAAGACAGGCTGCTGCTGGTGAAACACCCTCTGTGCAGACATCCTGCCTCCAGGGCCAGCCTCATCCATCCAGAACCGATTCAACACTTTTTCTGACTCAAGCTCAGTGGTGCAGACCCCAGGGGAAGCTCAGAAAAGCAATGAACCCAACTACATTTGAAGAGACGAGAAGCATGTTCCACATCGTACTGTGAAACCACTGGTGTTACGGGACACACAATCAATCGCCAAGTGGCGGGATGGGGTCAAAGAAGAGCAAACTCAATGGCCTGACGACGCAGAGCCAGTGGAGGGGATTTTAACAACAAAGAGGCAGCTGGACTCAGAACACCTGGACTCCTTTTCAGCCCTACCGCTCACAAGTAACTCCTCCTCACGGAGCCTCAGCGTCCCCATCTGGAAAACGGGCCTGTCCTCATCTTCCCAAGGGAGTTTGCAAACGGCTGTCTGAACTGTATCAACTGGCTACTGTATCAACCTCTCCACTCTGTGATGTGGCCATGGTGGTAATAGGGACAGGGAGTCGGAACGAAGGCAGGCAGGTGAGAACTGAATGAGGCAGGTCTGTCAAATGGAATTGGGCTGGTCATGGGAATGAGGGGCAATGAGAACAAGGACAGAAGGGTCTGCAAACTGGGCAGAATGCCTCAGACTTGATGGAGAGGAACAGGGAGCCCTCACTGTTAACAGTAGTGATTTATGAACACTAGCCCAGGAAAATAAGAGGAATCAGACAGGCAGGCAGGAGACAAGGAGCTGGCAAACTACTCCAGGCAGGAGGTAATGAGGACCAGCTATTGTCACCTGTCTTGTTTTGCTCTTCCTTAGGGTAGCATAAGTGCATCAAATATTTACCACTTCGTGCTCACAAAGCAGTTGTACAAACCTCATCGCATTTTGAACTTGCAACCTTTGGCATCTTGTTACTAGGTACAGATGAGAAGATGCTAAGTTCAGAGTAATGTGATTTAGCTACCAGCCCCTGGCTGGTGAGTGGCAGAGAGGATTTGAACCTTGCCTCTTGAACTCAGGCCCCTGCAAGGGGAAGGAGCTGCTGGAATCATCTGTGCTGCAGTGTGAAGGTCAGTCCAGTGACCAGTGTGCTGCAGGAGACCTGGGCTTTGGCTCAGAAGGGGTGTGCACCCTTTCTCTTTCTTCGTGACCCTGGGCAAATCATTTGACACCTTGACACCTTAGTTTCTTTATGGGAGGCAAATTGCTTTTCCCCAGCATCATGTTTCTGTGGGGAGGAACATCCAGGGGGATAAAATTCTGGGTCCTTTTCCCTTCTCCCCAGTGGAGGGGGATGTCCGAGCTGACTGGTGGATTCAGGAGAAGGAGCTGAGCTCATGTGGCCAGCCCCTTCCATTCTCCTCCTCCTGGGGACCCACCTGATCAGGGAAAGCTCACTCCTGCTCCTCTAGGCTCCAGGCTTAATAGGGCAGGGGGGTCCCCAGGCGAGGGCCACCGCTGCCTGGGTGGTGCTGGAGGAGTGTAGTCCTACAGCCTCCACAGCTGTCCTGTGTTCACAGCCTGGGCGATCACAGTAAGACCTGACCCTTTGAGCTCTGTTGCCTGAAGCTCTGATGGGGAAAAGCAGCAACATTCTTCACTGGTGAGAGCTGACACACCGCCTCACAAAGTTATTACGAACATTAAAGATAGTATACGTGAAGTGCACTGGCACACAGTCAGTAAGAAAAAATGGTAATATTATTGTGTGTTCACAGATTTTCTTAATCGCAGTTAAATCTGAACTGCTCATTCATTTCTAGAAACGTTGGGTCAGAACTTTCCATTATTCATTATGGTCAAATCTCATGAAAACAGCAAGCAGCAATTCAAATTAAGCTTTTTAGAAAATGGTGAGTAGCAAATATTGCTTAAAATAAATGAATCATAAACAAGGAAATTTTGTTACTCTGATTTTCTTGGTGTTGGGTAACAAAAGCAGATACAATTTGACCTTCATGAACAAGTTCACAAATACGAAAACGTGAACCACTTTTGTTTTTGGTTGAGAGAAAGCAGAGGAACCCTTGTTTGAAGTTCTTCAAAATAACCCTAATTCCTCCTCAAAGCCAAGAAGTGGCCCCCTGGGATGGTATTTCGACCTGGACCTTTATCTTCTCCTTGGGGTCACTACGCTGGGAGAGACGAGGCACGAGAAGGAACAGGGCCAGGGACTCCTTGCAGCAACCAGAGATGATGAAGCTGTTTTTTGGATAACATACAACCTGAGTGTAAAATCATTTTGAAATCCCATTTTGGCGAAGCTGAATAAGCATCTCTCTTTGCGGGAACAGCACCTAAGGGAGCAGAAGGAATCTCAGCCGGGGCCTAGGCAGATGCACGCAGCTTAAAGCACCAGATGGCGTGGCTTCAGTGAGCATGTCCTGCCCCCCTGCCCGGCTGCGGCCCATGCACACACACCTCCCATACTAAAGAGACTGCCTGTCACTGGACACTGTGTAGTATAATTCAGTCCCAGCGAGGCTTTTTTTTTTTTACAGACTCTCCAGCAAGTGGTTGCAAAGGTGTTCTGAGTGCTTCCTGTGGGCAAGACATGGTGCTCAGACCCCCCCGGCAAACCTGGGGGCATTCTTCAGGGCCTCCCCTACCTCTTTCATTATTTTGATGGCTTCCACCCGGTGCTGGGGTGGGGGATAAAGCAGCACGCGGTGATAGAGGGACTGGAGCACGGGCTTCATGGAGTCCACTGCCCCCACCAGCCGGACCAGCTCAGCTGCAATGTAGTAGATAGTCCGAGCCACAGGCCCGCTCAGGGCTGGCGCAGTGGAGGAACAACCTGAGCCCCGGCCGTGGTCGGAAACTCCTGGAGACGCAGAGTCCAGCTCGATGCTGGTGCTTGTGCTGCTGCTGTGAGCAGACGTGATGGTTTTGTCATGAACTGGATTCCCCAGGATCACAATGAGAGCGGGGCAAAGGTTTTTCCTGGGGAGAGAAGGGAAGAAAACAAGTTTCACTACAAGGCCAAGGATAAAACATGCATACTGTCCAGATGCCACAAAAATGACTGAGAGTCAAGTTCCTTACTGCTGCTGCTTGTGGCTACATTCTGCCCGTTTTCCATATCTCTCCATCACTTCTGGGTATGCCAACAGAATTCTTTATAACTCAAGCTAGGGTTAACTAAATAAAATATCACGAGAAGTATTAAGAAACCATCTTATGTGAGGAAATAGACTCAAAATGCTAATGGTTGGCTATAAAGTTTCATTTTGCTATAAATAAAATTGTTCATACCCCTCATTTGAGACATTAACCTAAGATTCTGACATGTCACTCATCGTCCTCCCTGTTGACAGGCCCGGAGCCCAGAGCCACTGCCCGGATGCCTGCGGGTCCCCCACTGGACCTCAGACTGTGCGGGACTAGCATTCAGGTGGAGGTGGAGATGCCGCAAGGCTAAGAAGTAGGCTCAGTAGCTCGTGCCCCTGTGCCACCCTCTGGTGCCTGTCTACGCCCTCAGAACAAACCAGCAACCTAGGAAATAACCTCCTTGTTCCTGAGTCTTGTGACCCTATGATGTGAACAAAGCGACACGGGCCCTGGGCGCACATTTTGCTACCTTAATCATCAGTCTCTGTATATCCAACTGCTACCTCTAACCGAAGCAACTTCCCTCCTCTCCTCTAAAATATTTATACGCAGATGAAGCTCTGGGTAGGTCATGGATGCTGAGGGGAGAGACCCACAGACTCAGCTAGGGCTGAGCCCCTTGGGGTGGTGGCTGGCAGGGGTATCTGGATGGGCACTCACCAGATCAGGTCTGTGAAGCCTCGGTGCAGGTGCATGGAGGAGGAGGAACCGCTGAGCACGGACAGGATACACTCCAGGTGCAGAAGCTGCAGCTGCTGGCTGTCACTGCAGAAGAGCGAAACCGACACACAAGCGCAGACACAGTGACGGCAGGGTCAGAGGTCGTGTGGGAAACGCTTGGAGAAATGTTAGGCCTTACAGCAGTGTTCATTCTTTTGAGGGGGAGTTAGTGTTCTGAGTTGAACTGTGTCCTCCCCAAATTCATATGCTAAATCCTAACCCAAGCGTCTCAGAATATGTCCTTATTTGGAGATGGGGTCTGAGAGAGGTAATCAAGTTAAAGCAAGGTCATGAAGGAGGGTCCTAACCCAACACGGCCATGTCCCTATAAAGAGGAAAACACATGCAGAGGGAAGACGAGGTGAACAGATGCAGAGGAGACGGCCCTCTGCAAGCCAAGGAGAGAGGCCAGAGCAGTCCTTCCTCAGCCCTCTGAAGGAGCCAGCCCTGCCCGCACCTGGATCTGGACTCCCGGCCTCCAGAGCTGAAGCAGCGAGTCTCTGTTGTCTGAACCACCTGGTCTGTAGTACTTGGTTACGGCAGCCCTAGCAAACTAACAGTCAGGATGATGTTTTTAGTAACAGACATTACTTTCAGAACAGTTTTAGATATGTAGAAAAGCTGAGCGTGGTCCGAGAGTGACCGTATTTTACCCACTCCTGCACCTGTTTATCATTTCATTACCATTCTACATCAGCTGCCATTTGTACATTTGATACCATTAGTGAACAGATATTGATATATTATTACCTAATTTCATACTTATTCCAGAAATGGTAAATTCTAACATGTTTAATTATCTACACCTTTCAGGAGACCATTGCCACATTATCTTTTAATAGGTCAAACACAAGCATTTAATTTCTTCTTTATTGAAGGCAACGTGGTTTTTCAATGAATGAATTACTTTTCCCTAAAATTACTGTTAGAGGATTCCTCACTAGAGACAAGTAAGAATACAGGCAACTTCACAGGATGCCCATTCTTATACCCAGGTTACATTTTCTACGCAGCCCACCAGAAAGCATTACCCTCCAGGTGGGAGGCAAGGATGACAGGCAGGGGTAAGGAAGAATTTAATTTTCAAGGACACATTTACTACTAATGTATAATAAATACTTTGAAGAGAATTCATTCAGGAATCCTGTATAGAATGGAGTGTTCAGAAAAAAGAAAAATTTTCTTTTAAAAATAAATTTTTGGTTGAGACACTTTTCTCCTAATTTAAAGTAAATAAATGCCAAAAGGAAGGTTATTGCCCTTAAAGTTCAAATAACTCCCAGAAGGGGGTAAAAGAGAAAGACACGACACGTGACTAGCAGACTACCAGTTTAAGGAGACAGGAAGGAAGAAAAGCTGACAGCAGACAGTAAATCCACACACTGCCTAACGCAGGAGGCTGTGCAGGTGCCAGACAAGGACCGGAGGCAGGTAAGGTCCCTCATTCGGGTGCCCTGTTCAAGACCCGGACAGCACAGTCTCTGTGCAGGTAACATGATGCTCTAAAACCCGCTGGCAAACTGCAGCTTGAAGGCAGCATCTTGCCCAAGGTCCGTGAGTCAAATAAGGCCTTTGCTTTTTTAAAGGGCTGTAAAACGAGAAAACCAAAAATGAACAGCAAACAGCAGAATGTGGCTCTTTACAGAATGCCTGCTGAGTCGCACTCTACAATACTCTCCCTTCTGCAGAGAACTGCACAACGATGAAAAGAAGGCCGTTATTCTAAGAAAGCGCCCTCTGCTTCTCTGTGGACACCCCTCACCACACCTGCTGAGGGTGGAGATGAGGCGGGCAGGGGCTGAGTCCCGAAGATGCTGTCACCGTTGCCAAGAGGAAGATGGTGGTTGGAAGAATTTGGTGGTTGGAGGAAGAGGAGAGAAGGAAGACATGACCGGCCTTTCTTGGGCCAGGGAAGCACTTTATATGCCCACGCTCCTCCACCCACAGGCTTCCCCACAGCTTTGAACAAGACGTAGTTCCTGACCAGAAACAGCACAGTCTTCATTCCTGTTGGATGAGAGAGACAAGTAAGAACAGATACAGTGCTGTGCAGGAAGCGCTACAAGTGAACCATTTGACACAGGTTCCACGAGAGCATACAGGAGCTACTTGATGGACCCAGAGAGAATTTCCAAAGGAAAGGGCATCTTAGTAGAGACGTAACGTTCATGCTAGAGTCTCCCGGATGGAGTGCTGGGGAGAGGGTGTGTCCAGTCGAACTATGTCTTGTTCAAAGCTGTGACACAGCTGCTCATGCAGGTGCACCCCAGCTTCCTCAGCAGTGGAGCACCATCCTAGGTAAGGGAGTTGTGATGGAAGAGACTACAGTCAAACGAAGTGAGCAGTCTCTGGAGGCAGGACTACAACAGGGGAATTGCCCTGAAAACTAGGCAAGACCACGAGACTCCTGTAAACACCACGAAGCTCAGTAACAATATGCCTACAGCCATCTCTGAGCCAATGTCCAACGACAAACTCTAGAAAAACACATGCCTCACGTGAATTGTTTTCCCCATTTAAAGCCCATCGTCAAGTCACATGGTTCAGAAAGGTTTTCATCCTTCTCGGTGACTGACAGAAACATGTGACTTTTAGTTCCTAATGTGTGTAATTTGCAATGTAAATTTGTGCCATGTCCTTTCCTAATAATTGACAGTCAGATTTCTCAGTGCTCAGTAAGATGCTCAGTGTTCCTAACTGCATCATAAACTATTTCTTGGACTCAAACAGCATCATGTGACTCACCTTATCTAATACAGCACTCTATTAATACTGCATCTCCATGGCACGTGAGTCACTCTGCACACTGGAGTGCGTTTTCTGAGTCTGAGACTGAATGGATCAGGAAGGCACACCCTGTGGAGCTGAAGCTGTGGGAGGGATGTGGGCTCTTGACTTTGGAAATGGTGTAGAGAGTACTGACCACAGTGTGGGTTCAGAGGAAGAACATACTCAGAAGGCAGGAGAGGGGTCAAGCTTAGCTCACAGAAGTAAAAGATGTACAGGTGTCAAAACAAGGGGAATGGCAGAGCCAGCAGAGTGAGGGTAGCCGAAAGCATGGTGCCCATGACTTGCTGGACTTAGAGGTCTCCCGAGGTCCGAACCATGGTCATGGCTGGGTGGAGGGAATATGGAGCCTCTCCCAGTGAGGACACTGGAGAGTGAAGGAGGGTGATGACAACCATACCCAACAGGCATAACCTGAGACTGTCCCAGGGAAATCAGGTCCCATGGGACCCTACAGATGGGGTCACTGCAGCTGGTGTGGAGCCCTTGGGTTCGGATAAGAATCTGCTCCAGCTCTCCAGGGTCAGGAAAGATGGGGGCCTGAGCAGGGCACAGGTGGAGCCATTTACCTCCCATCTGCTTCAGACACATCCCTTTAGAGAGAAAATAACGCCCTGCCTAGAGTCTGGGGTGCGAGAAACTTGAGGGGTCTGTGGAAGAAGGCAAGTGGCATTTCTTTTTGGTTTTATACTACCCACATATTAAATAGGTCTCTTCATTTTTTAAGAGCTTCATTTGGTCAAAATAGGCAGGTGACCTAGAGAAACAATGAATACACTGATGTAGAAATCATTTGGCAACAACTTTTAAAAGTAATTCTAAGCTTAGCTTAAAAATAATCCTGAGTTTATAAAACAACAAAAACAAGTTTCTGCAATTCTCCCAGCAAAGTGAGACCTCATTCATGTTTGCAACTGGACTGCTGCTTTCAGCTCATTACTGAATGCAAAATTCTACAAGCAAAAGTTTGCTGAACTATCAAATATTCTAGTTACCAGGAAACAACAGTTTAATGCGTCTCTCATAGCTCAAAGGACACTTCAGAATCTTCCTGTGTTGCAGAATTTTGCAGGTAACTACAGGTGCAGCTGGTAGAGACTTCTCATCTCGTCTTGGAAAGTCTGGTCTTTCTGTGATTTGGCCTTACTCTGGATGCACAAGTTATCTTACTGACTTACTGCCTGGAGAGCTGAAACAGAAGGCACCACCTGCACAATCTAATATCACTGATTAAACTGCATGCAAAACCACAAAAAGTATACAAAAGTCAGAGAAATGTGTTTTTCTTAAAGATATGCAAGTGAGTGAGCGCTGAAGCTCAGGAAATGTAGAAGAAACAGAAAGCCACACAGCCAACCTTGCATTCAACAGAGGAGGACAGAGCAGTACAGTTTGATGAGATCTGTTTAGGGTCACACAGCTGGAACACGCCTGGGTTAGGACCTGCCCTCACATCGACCAGCTCTTAGCGAATCTTCTTTCCACTCAGCTCCACGCTTGAGGGACTAACTCCTTTGCACAGTGTCATTTTCCCATCAGAAATTTCTCTCCTTCAGTAACAGCATTTGGTAATGTGGGCTTGCCAAGGTCACTGAATACATTTCTCAGGAATTACAGGGGAATTCCAATGGGGGAATCATTGTCCCTATAATCTGCAATTTTAAGTGACACTGTAGACAAGTTATTTCATAAATAAACCACTGGCGAATGAGAGGACCACAGTGAAGGCACTTACTTGATGGCGGCCTGCAGCTTCTCACACAGAACAGTGAGCACAGACACAAGGTCATCACAGAGGGACTCCACCGTTGACCCTTCAAACAGAGGAGGGGACAGGTGTTAGACATTCGCAGAGGCACTAGAAGCTTCTTCAATAGTCCTTCCCATCCTCTGCTTTTGATGCTTTCAAGACTGAAAAGATGATTTTCAGATGCTGAGCCTTCCTTAGGCCTCCAAAACGATAACAGAAAAGAATTAAATACAATTATTCATTTCTAAAGTAAAACACTCAAAAGATAGTCCAGAAAGAAAATAATATTGTTTCTTATTATAAAATTCATTCACACTTAACACAAGATTTCATTAATTTAGGAAACAACGCAATTGACAACAATTTTCTCAATATTTAGGCGAGCAGACTATACAGTCATGTGTCGCTTAACAATGGGATATGTTCTGAGAAAGGCGTCGCCAGGCGATTTCGTTGTTGTGTGAACATCATAGTGCGCACTTACACAAACCTAGATGGTACAGCCCACCACACACCGAGGCTCTATGGCACTAATCTTATGGGACCACCATCGTACATGCCGTCCGTCGCTGACTGAAATGTTGTTATGTGGCACATGACTGTGTATCCTTTATTTTGAGCTCATGAATTTCCAGGTCTTCTGAGAAGATCTGAGTTGTATCCCAGAGAGACAAAATGTGGTAGCATGGAAGAAAGATGAGCTTTTCAAACTCAAACTAAGACACTAGGGAAAGAAGGCAACCAAATTCAGTCACCATCTTCAGACATGGTCTTTGTTGTTAAAGGAGCAACAGCTAATGTCAGAAAACATAATTTTCCCTACAAACACATTCACATCCAGAAATTAGCAACAAAACTCCCACAGAAGCACTGGAGTATACTGGAAAAAGGCTGAAATTTGGAATCTGTTCAAGTACTGCTCCACAACTTGCTGACTGCATGAGCTTGTGTCAGCATCAGTTTTCCCTTTGGCAAAATGGGATAAATAATACCAACTTCACAGAATTGTTGGGCCAGGTAAAGTAACAAGAATTTTTTTTTTTTTTAATAATAAAACCCAGCTAAGATCTACACAAACGTGGCTAAGTATGTGATGAATGTATAAATGACTAATGACCATGAGGCCAGGGAAGATGGAGAAAAAAATGGCAGAAGTGCAAGAGAGAAAATAAAAGTAAAGTTGGAGGAGGGAAGGAGAAAGAGAAGTGGATGATCCTAAGAATTTATGATCTTGGGGCCAGCCCCATGGCTGAGTGGTTAAGTTCACACGCTCCGCTTCAGCGGCCCAGGGTTTCGCTTGTTTGGATCCTGGGCTCGGACCTAGCACCACTCATCAAGCCATGCTCAGGCAGCATCCCAAACAGCACAATCAGAAGGACCTACAATTAGAGTATACAACTACGTACTGGGGGGCTTTGGAGAGAAGAAGACTGGCAACAGATGTTAGCTCAGGTGCCAATCTTTAAAAAAAAAATTGATGATCTTAAATGTAGGAAAAAAACTGAGAAATGATAAGGTACAATGAGAAAACACAGCTTAAAATAAATAATACCCATAAGTAGTCCTTAAACTTAATTTTAGATAAATTTCAAATGGGTCCATCAATTGTCTACTCACGTATTTTTTGAAGATGTGTCTGACCAGGAGGATGTCGACCTCCGTTTTGGTTTGTAAAATCACCCCACACTAGAGTGGAGATTTCAGAGGCACGGCAATCAATAGAGGAGGGAAAGGCAGGCGGGAGCACGAGATTGCAGAGGTGAGAGGACCCACAGCGCCGCCTGCCACAGCCTGAGAGCAAGGGCAGTGGTCAGCAACACACTCAGCCGCATGCCAGAAAAGGAGGAGGCAGCCTCCACCTCCTCCCTCCCTTTGCTCTCTTCTCCTAACTGGGCCTGCTGGGCTGCTTCTCTCCCTCTCATTCCCGCCCTTTTCCATCTTCTCTCAACTCCGCTCCTTCTCCCTACTATTAATCGGCAAAAGTATCAAAGAAAAGCAGACTTTTCCAATACTTTTTACAATATTGAATAAAATCTGAAATAAAACATATTTCAATTTTTAATCATATAATTTGAATTTTTCATATCTCTTTCAGAAAGTAATTCTACCAAACACTTAAAAAAAAATCAAACTGCTTGTCAGTTACACATGGACCTCTATTTTTCCTTTCCCTGTGGGTCAGACGAAAGTTCCTTACTTTGATTTCATCTGCTACTTAAACTGGGCTGTCTGTCCTTCTGCAAGATTCCCTGTGAGATGACTCACTTTTCATATCAAAATATTGGTATTTCACAAGCATACTCCAGGTGCGATAGCACTTTATGTCAGTCAGGTTTCTACAACCATCTATCCAATTCTCATTTTAATGATTAATAACCCTGACCTAGTAACCAAAGTAACCAAAAAAGCCAGCCTCCAACAGGACGGTGTGTGAGCAGTTACCTCCCTCGCAGAGTTGGGATGGGAGTGGGTGTGGGTGACACAGAGTGAGGGACACAGGGAAGACAAGAGCTGATTAGACACGGGGAAGGCAGGGCTGGCAGAAGCTTGAGGAGAATGTGAGCTCACCGGAGAGCCCTACTCATCTTCACGTCCCCAACACCAAGCACAGCAGGCATGCTCATAGATGCTTTTGAAACCAAACCAGCAAAAGTCAAATCCAATACCTTGATTCCTGAATTCCTGTGGGTCATCCGGGTTTTCAATTATCTAGTAAGGGAGACACACACAGGCCAATTAGGAGATTCAGGCAAGAAAATTCCCGACTCTTAGGCAACAGAAAATTCTAGAAAACAAAATGCCAATCTGAGTGCTCTGGGCTCAGCTAGCTTACCTAAGTGCACTTTCCAGGTCTTGACAGAATTTTAATACTCATGGTATTTACAAAAAGACTATGATTTCTGGAACTGAGCTTATGAGTTTCAAAAACAATTCATTCCAGAGTCCACAGACTTCCCGAACTTTAAGCTCCATGGTGCACTTTGATTCCAGGGTTCTGAGCCATGATTTGGGGCAATATCTGCCTAAAAAGTGAGTTACCTTTGCACAGAAAACAACCTGTCCCAAGGTCACAGACTATACTCGACTGGCCCCTAATGAATGCAACGCTCAGTTATAAGGAGGATCAGGCTCCTGGCCAGACTGACTTCCAAACAACCCTCCAGGCTGCACAGGCAGACCCAGAACCATCAGGTAGAGGGGGAGCCTCGAGGAAGGGACAAGAGGAAGGGAAGGAAGTTTCCCAATAGGAGGACTGCTCTCGAACTGCAGGGACGAGCTGAGAGCTAGAGGGCGGCTCTTCAGTCTCCCTCCCTCTCAGCACTGGGAGATAAGAAGGGGGCCTCTTCATCCTAATTGACTATCATCCTACAGCACTATCTTTCTTTTTTTAAACTTGCTATGGGCACATATTTCTATTATTTTCTGTTCATTAATTTGCAAACCCAGCTGCTTCCACATCACTCTCTGTGAAACAATATGTCAGTGTCCATGGCTCAGCATATGGCTGGAACAACATTTTCTGGAGTAATATACACTTGAGTCATTTTTAAGGACAAGAGAAACACCACCACCTATCCCTCAAACATTTACATGTCGCATTTTTGCTTTCTGAAATTAGTAACTTACAATTTAACAATGGCTTTCATCATCTAAATAATCCAACAGTAAAGCCTGATAATAACTCGGGGTTTCTGAGGATACAAAATCAAATTGGGTGATCTGTGCTGACAGTAGGGCCGGGGAGCAGATAGACATTAGGCTGAAGATAACATTCCATGTTAATGCTTTTAGTATTCTAGATTTATTTTCCATCCACTGTAGTTAAGTCTTTCTAATTCTGAGATGGCCCATGATGTCTTTTCAGTGACAGGTCACGCTACACATTATACACATCTTCCCTAGGTAATACTCAGGGTCCACGAGAGAACCACACCATTCCTATGGACCAGTCACCTTAATAGCTTTTTTTTTTTTTAACTTAATAGCTTTTTAAAAATAAACTTCTTAGGTGGCAAAACATATGTTTCCCTGTAGTAGACATCACAAATGCTTAAAACATTAGCATCCTGAGAATTGTTTTTTTCTGGGACATGGAAACATCTCCAGGGACCACATGAGTAGTAGAAGTGAAATAACAGGAAATACTAATTTTCCACCTAATTTGGGATCTTGTCCCTGGCTGGGGTGAGTGCAGATGGTCAGTGACAAGCAGGACCTCAAAGCTGAGGAGCCACATAAAACATGGGACAGAGGCAGATAACCACCCAGTTCTATCTGGGCTGTACAGCTGCACCTGCCACGGTTCTCACTGAAGAGCAACACGAGCCAAAAGGCAAGTCTTTCACCCGAAACCTAACACTCACCTGCTCAGAATTTAACAGATAAGATTAAATGAACTAATACAATTGAAATCACTTTGAGACTAAAGTCCCATTTATGTTTCATCTTAAAATGTTAAAATATTATTACTATTATAGTATTTCATCACACTGGCATTTAGCAAGGTTGGAACATGACTGTATATTAATATAAGAAATCTAAACATCAGGTGATTTCCAGTAAAAATACTTTTTTCTCTTAATATGTTCTCTATTTATAGATTTAAATTTCTTTTAAAATAAGGTTCCCATACCACCATATTCAAAATCCTTGTATAAATGAAATAGTTTTTAAACAAAGAATAAGATAAGGTAATAAAAGTATCTAAAATTAAAGCAATTCTTTAACAGAAATTTGGGTTTTAGATGTAGCAAATACAACAACAACAACAAAAATCAGTATTTGTTTTTTCAGATTAGTGTTGTTTTTTTCCAACACGGGCTGCCAGACTGCATGTTAACCACCTGGACCGGGAGTCAGCTCTTCCACTGATGAGAGCATGGACTTCAGATGTCACTTTCATCTCTCTCAGCTTCATCTTCCTTATCTCTCTTGTGAGGAATAAAAGAATCTGACCAGATCATCTCTAAGGTTCCACTCAACTCTATGACTTTCAAAAAATTAGAAACTATTTGAAGTTAAAAATAGGAAAATTTGAAGTTAAACACGAAATCTTAATTTCCATAAAATTAGTTTGAGATGTTTCAGACAGCCATTGAGATTTCCTATTCTAAAAAATAATAAAGTGCTCATTTCTAAATACTTCTTGCAGATTTTAAAATAATTTTAATCTGAATTATTACAGAGGCAGATTTTGAAAAAACAGCAATTTTGAAGAGGAACTGTTCTCATCAACATTCCCAGAAGACAATATACCCAAGAACCAGTTACATTTGCGTGCTTGCTAGAAAGGCTCATCTTGGACAACCTGTTCAAGTTTAGAGCAAAAGGCCCTGGTGGGCTTCATGCGGAGAGAGGACAAGCCCAGCTTTCCTAACACTGATGGCACAGCCGGTGAAGGAGACCCCGCCAGAATCTTCAGTTACACACACCAAACCTCACAGTACGGAATCAACTGCTATGTTTTTTTCTTAATTTCAAATTTACTTCTGTTATTTGTTAATATATCACAATATTTTTTATAAAAATTTTTAATATGTTTTAAAAAATGATTAAAAAAGAAAAATAAATTTTAAAATAACGACTAAAAAATGATAACACCATATGGAAAAACAACTCTCAAAGCTTTAGAATGAAACAGGCAAAAATATATTTAAAGAATTAATTTACATAAATAAATGTTCTCCTAAACCAAGCCCGCCCTCTCTCCCGTTTCAGTAGGAGGCCGCCCTGGTGGGGCCAGGGGAACACAGCACACACAGCATGCAGGTGGACACAGACGCTGGCGAGACCGTGAGGACCGTGTGCACGCCGCAGGCTCACCGTGCTCTCCTGCCTCTGGCGCAACTGCAAAGTCAAGTCACTCAGCATCTGACTGAGAGTGGCCCGCACAGCAGTGTTTATGCTGCGCTGGTGGCAGCTACACACGTATGTCTCAATGCACACCTGGTAGGGAGATAAGACAGCAACACATGTCTGTAGGCATCAGTCCATCACCAACAAGCTGGAGAGGACGTTAGACCCTTTAAATAGAAAGTCAGCCTGACTTAGGACTAGTTATCAATGAGTCCTACACATATTTAAAATCCCCAGGAAATCTGCTTTCAAGCACATAGGAAAAGTAATATTTTCCTAAGGCTTATCCTCTTAGCAGCTTATTCTTCTGAGCATCAAAGGAGAATGCAAATTTGTGACTGTTAGATATGCCAAATAATCCTATCTAGAACAAACTCAGGTGGCTGGAAATGAATCAGGAAAAGCTTTCTCCACAGCAACAGAGGGACAGAATGTATTAACTGCTGAGTTACGAAGGGTGCTCTCTAAACAAGTCTAACCCTGCATTAACTCCCCAGCTGTGGTGTTCTCCTAGAAATCTGATAAATGTGCTCATCAGCTGTGTCACCAGGCGGCATGGCTCCTGGTCAAACACTGCCAGATGACCCAGCTGCATCTGAACAGGAGAACTGAGAATGCAATATGAGGCCTGGTAGGGTCACAGGCTAGGCTTCCCTTGGGGACTCCTGGCCTTGCTCCGGCCCTCTGAGAAGCTCTGCAAGCTCTGCTCACAGCCTTGTTACAGAAATGTTGGTTCCCACGGAGCTGAAACTCGGTGCTCCTAATCAAGGTGGCTCTCTGCCCACTGAGGTGGCTCTCAGCTTCCTACTCCTCAGCTAATACCTGAGGGCTCAAGACCAGCTGTGGGCCCCTGTGAACCGCACCTGCCTGCTGACCTGCTTTGGCTCCTGTCTCACATCCTGCTGGGCGAGCAGAATGTCAGGTGTGGCCTATCCGGGTCTTGCGAGTCTGAACGTCAGGTTGAGCCTGAGAAGGCCTCCTGACGGCTGCAGCATCACGAAATCCCAATTTGAAACAAAGATCCCTTATTTGATGGTGATGATGTTAAATACCATGATCATTTTATTCTAATTCTTCTGGAAGCTACAGGGATGGGCATAATACATAATACATGCTCGCTTTAAATCCTCCCATGGTTTTCCCTCCAAAGTATGCTATCCTTTCCATTTTGTCAAGCATACTTAGCTCCACAGAAAGAAAACAAAGGGATTTAACGGACCTGAATTATTTTTCTAGGAATAACTCCAAGATTATCCACAATGAAAATACAAGGTTCTCACCTAAATGGAAAATTTAATTTGATGATTGATAACTGAGACGGGAGAGAGACTAAATGTTAACTTTTGTTGTTGCTACCACTTATGCTAGTGTTTTCTGCCAGGCCTCACTATAATAACCTTTTTGGTAAAATTAACCAGGTAAAGGTATATTTTACTAACAGTTTAATTTATCTCTTATTGAATGCTTAATATTCTAAATGAGCATTTAAAACTCAAAAGTGTATTTGGAAGTTGGTTTAGATTAATTCATTTTAAGTCAAAAAATAAGAGCAAGTTCCAAAATATTTTCTTTCAAACTATCAGGTAGGGCATATCGATTTTAAATTCATTTTCTCAAATGATCATGGATTATAACGTACTTGAAGGTATAATTTATACATACTGAGAAAAAAGTATGTGTTTTAATCCTGAAAGGCTTTTACCTTTGAATGTGATGAAATGGTTTAAAACTCTTGAAAACACATCTGAGTGCAGTGTTCACTTTGATGAGACAAATTCTCCGTGGTGTTATTAGGGGCACTAGGATGATTTGTGCCTCAGGACTTAATGGTTCTCTTTAAATCTTACATTCTCCCAAGAAGTCTTTGTAACTGTTGATCTTTATAAGATCTCTAAGCTCTGATATTATAAACTTGAGGGGGAATTTTAAGCCTTAGAAGCATTAAAGATGAGAGAGTAATCAATTTGAGAGCTGAACCACATATGGTATCACACAATTCTGAATACTGAGAGCCGTACCACTAAAGGAGCTCCCTTAAAAATGACGCCACTCCCTTCAGAGCCATGGAAGAAAGCACACCGCAGGAACCGGACTTTAAGTGACACAAGCAGCGCTGTGAACAGACGAGAGCTCCCCAGATGCCACAAGTATGTCTGAGCTTTAAGTGCACTGCTGTTTCAGTGTGCAGCTGCTCATCCCACAGGGCGACCCTGCAAGTGACTTGCTGCAGGAGGCGTTTTGTGACGGGAAAAGGACGCATGTTCACTCTGCTAAAAAAAGTATTAACCTACGAGGCTCATTCTACTAAAGTGGGAGTATAAACACTGAATGTGACAAAAGGCAGTCCTTTTAAATATAAAAAGACCACGTATCTGATCATATCACTACCTTCAGGTCCCCAGAAAGAAATGCCTTATCAGCTATCCTGACATCTTCTAAGGAAATGCTTCTTACACTTCTAGCCTACTAATAAACTGGCAAAAGGATAAGGTTAAGAGAACTAGGGTTTCCCTTATAGCCTGACCGCTGTACTCAAGGCCAATGTGTTTTCACCTGGCGAATGTTCTTCCTCTGGGTTGGGCAGTGTAAAACCAGCATGTCAAATCAGAGATGCTAAGAGAATACCAAGTCCAAAGGCAGGCTGAGTTTCTGGAAAGGGCTCACCAACAACTTCTTTTCGTATCTCCAGTACCACTGATGCTTCCCATGCCCTCTGCTGTTATAGTGCAGAACTGACACTTAACAAGCCTCAGTCCTGCACGTAGGCCAGCGGCTCAAAGGGCAAGTCAAGTACCTTGTGAAAAGCCACAGGTCCCTGATGGCCAGGAAACACACGAAGACACAGGGCAGTGAGGAGTTTCGTAATGGACATTTTGATCATTTCATGCATTTGTGGACATCCAGCTTTACGGCATGCTAAACACAACTGAGAGCAAAAACACAAATCGTTAATGAAGCAACACAAACCCCAAAAGCAGAAGCACAAGGAACAAGAAAACACAAGTCTGCAAGCCAGCCATAAGCAACAGAAGTTTTATATCAAGTAAGTACACTGATAAATAACAGTACTAGGTTAAACCCAGGGTGAGTGACTTTTATTAAACATGAAGCAGCGTGGTGGAATGTGGCAGATATTCAATATTGGCCAAAGGGAAGACAAATTTTAAAGAAGCTACCACAACAGAAATTTGCCTAGCTTTCCAAAATACGTATGACCTTTGTTAAACTGTGCATTTACCTTCTCTTTCCTGTCTGAATGGGGTTAGTGGCATAGCTTTGTTACAACAGTGCATGATACTGAGTAATAAGTTCCACACAGAGAAGAGCTAGTAGGTTTCCAATTGGAAAATTTTTATGGAGATGAAAAAGAATTTATGGTGAAAAAAATGGAAAGGATCAGAGATTAAGCTATGAGAAAGCAGAAAAAATGTCTTTTTATAAAGGGAAAACTATGAACGCTGTTGATCACATTAGAACAAAAGAAAACTGTGATTATCACTACAAGTCTACACTCAACGTTGAATCATGATGACAACTCTGTGGCCAGGTCGTTTCTGGGTGACCAGCTGTAGCAGGTGGGTATGTGACAGGCACCTCATCAAATGGGTCCTGCTGATGCACACACACACCAGGTGAACTGAAATTGCTTTATTATTCCTAAGAAATATTTGCATAAGTAAGTCTGATCACCATGCTTGGGTAGGGAAATTTGCTGGTTTTTCTTTTGGATCTCAACTTAAAGGGAAATTCTTAAGGTGCCCAGGCACAAGTGGACAACTCAGACTGCGACTTCTCTCTTCCTCCTCCATGTCCTTCTTGGCTTAAGCAGGCCTATTAAAATGGTTTAAATTTCTGCCCCTTCCCAGGCAGAGCCTTTTGCTTGGCCTACAGAGGGTCTACTGAACCAGCCCAAAATGAAGTAGAGCGATCTCTGCATTGCTCCATGCGTCTTCTAAATCCAAATCAGTCCTTCCAGAGCCGTGCACGTCTGAGGTAAAGGAAAGTGTGGAAATTCCTCGCAAAAGGACTAGTTTGCTCAAGGCCCATAAGGCAGTAAGCAGCCAAAGAACAAACACCTCAGAGGAGTCAAACCAGAGTGAATAAAGAGACCAGCTCCTGAGGAAGAAAAGAAAGGGTTTCCAGAAGGAAGAAAAGAAAGTTTCCAGGTGAAAAAGTGGAGAAGCTTCCTAGAATGGGATTTCCTTACTCCACTGGCCTCAGTGGTTTGAGACAACAGTCCGGGCTCCCTTGCCAGGAGGTGGGGTTACTTCTCCCAGTCTTAGAGAGAACATAAATGAGATGCTTCCAAGATAAACGGGTCAGGTCATCTGTGCTCTTGCCTTCTGGGTGTGTCTGGAGACTGTCTGCTCCCTAGTTGTAGAATATTTTATTGGAGGTACGGCTCAGAAATAATGTTACCACATTAGACTAAAAACAAAAAGTATCTCCGAACATTTCAAGAATTATAAGTCAGGAGCCGGCCCCGTGGCCGAGTGGTTAAGTTCGTGGGCTCTGCTTCGGTGGCCTGGGGTTTTGCCGGTTTGAGCCCTGGGTGCAGACATGGCACCGCTTGTCAAGCCATGCTGAGGTGGCGTCCCACATGTCACAAATAGAAGGACCGACATGCAAAAATACACAACTATGTACGAGGGGAGGGAAAAGGAAAAATGAAATCTTTAAAAAAGAATTATAAGTCAGCCCAATTAAAAAAATACTTTAGTGACAGCTAGAATCTTTAAATCGGAATCTTCAGCAGCAGGTCTTGAGCCTCCATGTTTTTAAGCTCCCTTGGGTAACAAGTGGAACCAGACTCCAGATCCTCTAAGGGCAATACAATGGTCAGAAAAGATAAACTAAGCATCTGTATGTAAAGACACGCAAGAAAGTGGCACATGCCTAGTGGTCACTTAAATCTATGGTCACAAAAAAAGTGCAATTCATCAATACTTCTGCTTCACGTGTAAAAACACCATACAGCTTTATCTAACTAAATGCCTCGGGAAAGGCCCAAGTGGGACAAGGCTCCTAAGAATTCCAGGCCGTTGCTAATATCACTATGGCGCGATTCTACTAACTTTCCCAAGACTGAGAGGAGCCAGGAAGCAATACAGCATCGTGGTCAACAGCACATACTTGAAATGTAAAACGTGGATTAGAATGTTGAGCTGTAGAAACTTGGGGAAGCAAATTAACCTCACTTTCCCCAGGATTCTTTATCCAGCTTGGTTGTGGTAAAGATTAAAAGAGAATGTACATAAAATGCTACCATTGACATGCCCTAGAGACTCAACCACTAGTAGCTACTATTATTAGCCAGCGTTTTGGATGTGAGGGATGGATGGGCAGATGGAGTGAAAGAGGGAGGTCTCGGAAAGTAAGAATCTTAGAGAAAAAAACAATGCTCTTTGAGACAGACTTGGCTTGACCTGACACCACGTGACAGGATCAATGACCGGAAGTTTCCCAATAAGTCAGTAAGACTGAACGAGCAAAGACACATTTATGAACTAGGCTTTCTCACCCTGAGAATCCCACAGAGGAGCCCTCAGTAGGCATGAGAACATGCCTCAAACCTTTCAATGGAACAGGGTCATTAACCATCTTCAAATTAGCGTCACAGAGCTTCTGGCTCTGATGCCACCAATTCCTTAACCACGAGACCTTGGCAATTTTTACTCCCACATCTGTTTCCTATATTAAGATTACTATCCTTGGAAAACTCAACATATCTGCTAATTTGGGCATCATAGTAAGAGAAATCTTGGGCCTAGCTTTCAACCAATGAAGAGAAGGATTATGTATCCATATGGAGTTTTATTTTATTCATGAAATTTAACAGAAAACATATGCTGGGTATTTCATAATTGTCCACTCCTAAATCTGTGATATTTCTTATTCCTCCTGCATCATAAAAGACCCTGTTCTGAAAAACTTTCACTATTGCAGTTTAATGAAGCGAGTTAAAGGAAGATGCATAAATGAAGAGTGCCTCTTACTGACATTCTAAGCACTTAGGGACCTTCTTACAGTTTCAGCAGGACCTTGGGGAAACGGCCTCGTTATCCATGCTTGAGTGCACACTCCTACTTCCTATCAACAGGTTTCAGGGGAAGCTCTATCCTCATGTAACAGTCAATGGACAGCAAAGACACGTCTGGATTCTTGCCCAACATCTCCACAGGAGTTTTAAATGGTTTATTTTAAGGTGTTTTTATACATTGTTTCCATAGCTATATCAAAACTGACAATAGGAGAAAAGAATTTGTTTTTCCTTTAAGTTAAAGACATTTTTTTCTTTTTTTCCAATTATTTTATTGAGGTGATAATGGTTTATAACACTGTGTATTTTCACGTGTACATTATTATTTATCAGTTTCTGTATAGAATGCATAGTGCTCACCACCATTAGTCTAGTTTTTATCTATATGTGGATATCACCGTAAATATGTGCCCCTTTAACCATTTTGCTCACCCCCCTAACCCCTTTCCTCTCTGGTAACCAGTAATCTGTTCTCTTTATTTATGTATTTATCATCTTCCACATATGAGTGAAATCATGCAGTATTTGTCTTTCTCTGTATGGCTTATTTCACTTAACATCACACCCTCAAGGTCCATCCATTTTGTTGTTCCCTATAAATTTTAGGATTCTTCTATTTCCATGAAGAATGTCATTGGGGTCCTGATTGGGATTGCATTGAATGTGTAGATTGCTTTAGGTAATACGGACATTTTAACTGTTTGTTCTTCCAATCCATGAGCATGGAATATTTTTCCTTTTCTTTATATTTTCTTCAATTTCTTTCAATAATGTCTTATAGTTTTCAGTGCGTAGCTCCTTCACCTCCTTGGTTAAATTTATTTCTAGATATTTTATTCTTTTTGTTGTGGTTGTAAATGGAATTGTATTCTTGACTTCTCTTTCTCCTAGTTCATAATTAGTGTACAGAAATGCAACTGATTTTTGTAAGTTTATTTTGTACCCTGAAACTTTGCTGCAGTTGTTGATTATTTCTAAGTTTTTTGATGGATTCTCTAGGGTTTTCTATATATAGAATCAAGTCATCTGCAAACAGTGAGATTTTCACTTCCTCCTTTCTGATTTGGATTCTTTTTATTTCTTTTTCTTGCCTAACTGCTCTGGTCCAAACTTCCAGTACTATGCTGAATAGAAGTAGTGAGAGTGGACACCCTTGTCTTGTGTCTATTCTCAGAGGGATGGCTTTCAGTGTTTCACTGTTAAGTATGATGTTGGCTGTGGGTTTGTCATATATGGCCTTTATTATGTTGAGGTACTTTCCTTCTATACTCATCTTATTGAGCGTTTTTATGATAAATAGATGTTGGATCTTGTCAAATGCATTCTCTGTGTCTACTGAAATGATCATGTGATTTTTATTCCTCATTTTGTTAATGTAGCATATCACATTGATTGATTTGAGGATATTAAACCATCCCTGTGTCCCTGGTACAAACCCTACTTGATCATGGCGTATGATCCTTTTAATGTATTGCTGTACTGGGGTTGCCAATATTTTGTTGAGGACTTTTGCGTCTGTGTTCATCAGTGATATTGGCCTGTAATTTTCCTTCTTTGCATTGTCCTTGCTTGGCTTTGGTATCACTGTAATGTTGGCCTCACAGAATGAGTTAGGAAACATTCTGTCCTCTTCAATCTTGTGGAATAGTTGGGAAGGATAGGTATTAAATCTTCTTTGAATGTTTGGTAGAATTCTCCAGAGAAGCCATCTGGTCCTGAACTTTTGTTTTTTGGGAGGTTTTTGATTACTGTTTTAATCTCTTTACTTGTGATTGGTCTATTCAGATTCTTTATTTCTTCTTGATTCATTTTTGAGAGCTTCTATGAATCTAGGAATTCATCCATTTCTTCTAGATTGTCCAATTTGTTGGCATATAGTTTTCTAT